TTATCACACCCCAAAGGTCCTACTCCAATTCTAACATTTTGATTACCTCTAACATTTAGAAAAAAACGTTTACAGTTAATTTTTACATTTTCAGCCAAACTTTTTCATATACCTTTTTGATTTCCTAATTTTCAGTTTGACCAACTCGCTTAATCTTCTATAATCCTTTACATCTCCCATCATAGCAGTCAATTTAAACTTTTTTTTTTTAAATCTATGATGCATTTCTTTAACTTTAATCTGTATACTCTGTGTGAGTCAACCTGGTTTTTAACTTGCAGCCACCTTTTTTTTCATGAATAATTGTGAATATTTAGATATTTATTTTTTTATGTTTTCCACATTTGGTCAATGTCTCCAATTAACTGAGTTGCCCAATTCATAACAGATAATTTTGTCATCCCTTCAAAATTTATTTTTGAAAAATATAAACAAAATTTCATTATTGCTGATTTATGTATGCACTAAAACATGAAACCTAATAGATTAATGATCACTTTAGCCCAGATGTGCCCCAGTCTCTACTGTCTCAAACATTTCTTTATTAAAAGTTAACAATAAATCTTCATTGTTTCTAATAAGTTCCCTGATCAACTGGTGAATAAAACTATTCTGAACATTTCTAAATACCTTTCTCCCTCATGATTTGCTCTAAAATTTCTCAATCTATGTGTTTGAAATTAAAATCACTCATAATTATGACTTCATTAAGAGCTTTTCCAACAGAAGATTGAACATAGGTCAGCTAGCTGTGAAACAAGAGAGCCATAACTTAACCTTTGAAAAGCATCCAGTTATCAGAATATGATTAATTTTAGGCCTAGTAAAACTATTAAAAAACTGTCCTCCATTTTTTAACTGAATGGGCACAGGTTTAGTTTATTGAACTCACTCTGTATTGGATAAGGAATGTGGATTATAATTTTGAATTTACTATGTGAATCTACAGTGAATGTGGCAAAGTTTTAGTAAAATGTACAAGTCTGTTGTACACAAAAAATCACGTGTTACAAAAAGATCTGTACTTAGGACATTTTTGTGAATTGACAATGTCAGTTTGACTCAAACTCTGAGAAGTAGGAGTGCAAGGTGATATTCATGTGGTGAATAAGAATACTTTTGTCGACACATTGTACAATTTGCGTAGCCTGTACAACCAAAGAAATGCATACCTACATTTTTTTTTTCAGTATTCCTGTATACTATACCATAAACTGTCACTAAATCAACTGAATAGTTGATAAATCTGACATCAAACCATACTGAATGTAACTTTGTAAAAGTTATAGCATGCACACTTTGATTCCCACCCATGCACATAGGGTTAAACTTATTTGATGACAAATACTTTTCAAAATTTAGCCTAGGTGTGAATAATCATTTTATATTTTTGTTTATAAGAAAAATATTATTAACTTTAGTGTTGAATGTTTAAAACATTAACAAGTAATCAGAATCATAATGAACAAAAAAAACATTTAATGTAAATCCTGCACCTACCTGAAACAATTTATTAAATTCTTACTTTTATTGTTTCTCGAAGAAGAAAAATTTCTTTTTTCATGTGGTCTTTTTCACTGTACAAAGCCTCCAAGTGCTGTTGGACTTCTGGATCAGGATTTCTGATGTGGGCAGTCCTGAGATCTTCTTCAAGTTGTTTTATCAACTGATTCAGCTTCTGCAAGAAAAGTAGGAAATGTATACTTACAGATGTAGATTACAACTTTCTCACAAAGGAAATGTTTTGTGTTTTATATTTGATCTCGGTAGACTTAAAGAGAACATAAAACTTTAAATAAAGATAATAGATAGTATGTTTTTCAAGAAATAAGGTTAATTAACTTGAGAAATGTGTTAAAAGTATTTAGTGTCCTCTGACTGACACTAATGATTCCAAGACATTGTGTGAAACAGCATGAGATCATCTTAAGACCTTTCCTTTTATGCTTAAACTGATCTTAATCTTTCAACTCATGTCTCTGATACCTTTTCTCATCTCTATCAAAGATGTATAGTATAGCATGTGTATTGGTCAAAATGTTAGTTGCCTGATTAACACATGAAAATCTGATATCTCAGTTGCTAGGGCATTGGGCATAGAACACTGGCATAAGCTGTAGATCCTGGGTTCAAACCAAGTCAATGCAGAATTTTTTATAAATTAGTCACAAGCCTTGAACCCATAATTTAAGGGTACAGCTGCAGCATAGTATGGTTTAAATTCGATGACGAGGAACCCACTTTGAGACTAATAATGGCTGGAGACGGCTTGAATGGGTAATGAAGAAGAACTTTATTAAAGTTTTTCTTCATTACCCATTCAAGCCTCTCCAGCCATTAATAGTATGGTTTACAGCTGTGTGAAAAGATGAAGACATTTCTGATTAAAGTTTATCTCTTTTATCCTGACTTAATGTACAAGGACATACTTCAGTCACAATATTACATAGCCATTAACTCCAAGAGTTGGATTTAAATGTCAAATGTTTTGCTGTGACAGCAAGTTGTAACCTTAGATAGTCATCAATATACCTTACAACCAGAACAATTGCAATCTTATAAACTTAAGAGAAAAACTACTTTTCTAAGTTGTAACCTTAGATAATCATCAATATACCTTACAACTAGAACAACTGCAATCTTATAAACTAAAGAGAAAAACTACTTTTCTAAGTTGTAACCTTAGATAATCATCAATATACCTTACAACTAGAACAACTGCAATCTTATAAACTTAAGAGAAAAACTACTTTTCTAAGTTGTAACCTTAGATAATCATCAATATACCTTACAACTAGAACAACTGCAATTTTATAAACTTAAGAGAAAAACTAGTTTTCTAAGTTGTAACCTTAGATAATCATCAATATACCTTACAACTAGAACAACTGCAATCTTATAAACTAAAGAGAAAAACTACTTTTCTAAGTTGTAACCTTATATAATCATCAATACACCTAGAACAACTGCATTTTTATAAACTTAAGAGAAAAACTACTTTTCTAAGTCACCAAAACTCAGGCTTGATATATGCTGGTTAAAAAGATATTGTTACGTCTCCGTAAATTCGTTCCGACGAAATTTTAACGACACAAGTCCTTTCTTAATAAAACTGGTTTATTCTTCCCGAATATAACTTTGCGATACACTTAATCTCAATACTCGGCTAAAACAACACTGTAACGAACGAACGTTAACTTCAACAATACCCTGTCGCTGCAGTTCAATTACTCACTATCTATACACACACATTACATTGCCTTTCCGCGTCACGTTTTCCCCCTCTTATATATACCAGCCTACCCTATCTAGTAAATACTAGAGCATTCGCCAAAGTACAGGATAGTTCTAGAAACGTGGCGTCACTGTAATCATGTGACTCGCTGACGCAACTCTGCCCCCTCCTTAATATTG